AAAATATTAAAAAAATTAAATAATGAACTTTAAAAATTAAAAAAATATTTTTTTTAAATAAAGAGATTAAAAATAATTTTTTTGTTAAAACAGACAGATTAAAAATAAGTTTTAACCTTGTTGGGTCTACGTGTCGATGACTAGGCTTCGGCGCTTCTCAAGGGGAACTGCCAATTTTGGGCTAATAGTCTAAATACTGCTTAGTTCAAGGATCAATGTTGATATATTGTATGTTGTGGGTCTAATACGGTAATACCTTCAAAGACGAAAAGTTTTATTAGTATGTTTGTGTTGAGGAGTGTTAACATATTGTATGTTGCGGGTCTAATACAGTAATACCTTTAAAGACGGTAAGTCATCTTAGTATATTTGGGTTGAGAGGAAGGGAGGGGAGGAAAAAAGAATTATACCATTTTATTTTTTTATTGGAATAAATAAATAAATAAAAAGAAAAAGTAAAGTAAAGAATTATTTTTTCCTCTCCTCTTCATTATTTTTTTTATACTAATTTTTTGAGATTTGGTAATTATATTGGATTCCAACTAATTTGGAATCGAATTGCGTCAGATCACATAATGAGAAATACTCTTTCAGTACTTGTTTCTTTATTTATAAGACTTGAACTCGAAATTTTATTTAAGGTGAATTGAGTTTCTTTTATTTGGACTAATAAATCGTTGGTTTTCTTCAATTTTTTTAATAACTAAATAAATAAAATTTTCTCATCCCTTTCAATTTTTCTCAACCGAAACATATTTTTAAAGGGCTAGGGGGTTAAGCAAGTCTACTACTCATATTTCCAACTTGTTCAATAGAATAACAGGTATTGACATATTGATAACACAACTAGGTAGCAATTTTCATTAATTCTTTAATTTCACTCATTTGATGATAACAAATTGATATTTGTTGATAACAATTTTATAAATCAATGGGATACGCAAATTGATTTGTATTCACTTGCTTGATAATATGAGATTTTTATTTACAAATATTTTCAGTAAAGCATTTTTATTAATTAGCAAACTTTTAATTAACGAAATATATTACAAACAATCCCACACATTACAAACATTACAAATGAAATATAAAATCCCTTCAAGCTATATATATAACAAGCCATAGATTTCACTTGAATTTAAATGGAGTTCTAGGAACTCTTTCACAAAGTAATAGGATCCACCAGCAACAACACAATATGGTCCTTCAAACCATGAGAGTTCGTATAGCCATCAATATCCTTGTATAAGAAATCCATCACACGAGCAAAATTTAAAATTCGAGTGAGTATATGCATGGGAAGGACTGTTGGTTTCATGAATCCTTCATTAATGTCTTTCCACGCATTTGCAACTTCTTCTCGAAACACCTTCACAGTGTCTTCCTCTGAAATGCCATATTGTTTCATATAACAGTCAATACCTGATGTAACATGATCTCGTGTTCGCTCAAACTGCATTTAGTTGGCAAAGGAATTAGTTGTTAACTCTTGTGAGTGTTTGATCCTGTACTAGATTTAATTAACCCCACAATTTAAACTTGTTATTAATGAGAACCAGCTCGACTAAAATTTTGTGCATACCTCACGTGAGGCAATATCATCCATGAATCTATTTACAATTGAGCAAGCTTTAACCATTTTAGGGTCATTAGAGATCCAATCAAAGGCCTCCTTGGTTGCAACTTCTCCCATGGCAACGAGGGAATTTGTTATGAGCATTAGATAACCACAAGAAATGAGGGCAACCTGCATATACTCCTCCGGAGGTGGAATGTAGCCTTCTTCTCGCCACTTGGCTTCATGAAAGTAAACTCTTATTGCTTGCTTCATCTATTCATGAAATTAAATTACACACATGAGAATAACAAAGAATTCAAAATCTCTAAAATATGAATTAAATCAATCATATGACAATTAGTTACTTACTGACTCTTTTGCGTAATCCATAGCATATGATCTTCCTTCTTTTGCAACCTTCACCTCCATTTCGCTATAAACATTTAACAATGCTTGATAAATTAATTTCATATATTCTGGAAGTTGATCTATGACACCAATGTCCCACCTAAAGGTCAAGGAATCAAAATTATGAATGTAAAATTTGAAATATATGAATACATTCCATTAATTTGACTAAAATGATCTAGTTTAAACTAGAGTATTTAACCTTTCAACACACTTAGTCAAGAGCTCAAGTTCTTCATATGTCCCATAATTATCATATGTATCATCTAAAACAGATGTCATGGCTATTACTTTAGTTAGAAATGTCCTTGCTAGGGAATATTTGGGTTCAAAGTAAACTCCCATTGTCCAAAAATAGCACTCCACAATTCTGTCCCTTGCATATGGTAGCTTTGTTGCAAAATCCAGATTTGTCCACCACCTGAAAACCAAGCCAAATTCAAAGCCTAAGATAATAAACCACCATACTTTAATTTGAAGTTTACTGAATAAAAAAAATTGAACTTACTCAACAATTCCATTAAGCTCTTTTAGATGCAAGGCTTGTACCATGTTGAAATCTATCTTTGCAAATCTAAGTAGTGCTATATTAGAGGAAGCAAAATGGTTGTCTATAGAGTACAGAGAGATATGACGCCTTGCTTGAATTCTTGGTAAGTCTTTTCGGATGGGGCGATTTAGGGCATGGGCTATTTGTTCTGCAAGCTGACGGCTTACTTTTGTTGCCATTGATTCAAGGTGAGAGGTAGTGAAAGCAATAGCTTCATCCAGGATGTCTTCTCCACGAAGGCGAAAATGTGCAGCTTCATATAGATTCAACATTCCAAGCACATCATTTAGCAAATCTTCCTTGAATTTTCCCCTTTCATCCATGAATTTCTTGAATATCTCTATATTAATATATAACAAGAACACCATGAGTGCAACTAACTAAAAATTAACCTAGCCATGATTCATAAACACAATTAAAACATTTTTTGGATGTTAAAAAGAAGAACTAACCAGATGGAACTTTGATTCCTTGTTGTCTAAGCAACCGAAACCAAAGAGCAATTGTTTGAAGATCAGATTTAACATGATCAACACCACCAAGATGTATCTTCTCTAAGGCATTGTCAATTTCAATCTCAAAATGGTAAGCAATGCCTAAGCGTTGGACTGCATCAATTAAATGCAATTTCTTTGAAGGATCGATGGTGATAGCATCAGCTATCAACCTCCTTACTTGTTGCTTCAGTTCTTCATATTCTTCTTGTGTTCTAGGTTCAATTTTCTGCAAAATCAGTCCAAAATAGAACATTAAATATGTGGTGATACAACCATGAAGAAAACACTCAACTTTTGAGATATTAAAAAACTAAAAAACTTATAGATGAAATTACAGTGAAGTATTCTCAAATCAAGCTTAAAGTAGGCAGGGTATAAAGAAAACTC